GTAGAGTGGCAGCACCGAATCAATTCCTGACGCCCGGAGAGCTTTCGTGGCTTGAGATGCCTTTATCCAACCGTGCTTAAAGCCACGATTCTCACATAGGCAAACTTTTTCGGCGAGTTTCTCTTTGGTCTTCTGAATTCTAACCAGTCGGCCGTCATGAAAGCCCTTTTCGTAGGCCACGTTTCTCGCAATCTCAATCGCAAACATGCTCGCCGTATTATGATCGGCGATCGCATCACTAATCAGCCTTTGAGTAACCCTCTCTGCGACAACTGGGTTGGGGGGGACGACTGATTAGGGCGACGCAGGCTTGTTTTTCCTCAGCTCACGCTCGGCTTTTTCAGCGCGAGCTTCTAACTTCCGAATGCGTTCGTCTTTCTGTTCTATGTCCCGACGAACGGTGCGGAGACGCATACCGATCTCATAAGCCATGTAAAGTCCCCTCATCGCCCCGTGAACGCCTTCATGAAACACTTCGAAGTCCGGACAGCTTACTATCGACTGTTGAACTTCGGGCGAAAAAATCTGTCGAGCAAACTCGACTGCCACATTTGGGTCTCGAATGATAGAATCTGCCTCCGTCATCAGTCTGTTACCCACGAAGACTGCAAAACTCAATGGGTGAGGAGTTGTGTCAGATTCCCTTCCAGGATGAGATTGAAGAGACTTATGTTGTGGCTGACTATCCCTCCTAGGCGATTTACTTCGACGTCGAGGAGATTGGTGTCTCTCCCGACCCTTCGACGTCTTACCGCCCATGCATGATGGTTCACCGCTTCGATTCATGGCACCTCCCAGCTCAGCTAGCGTCTTCGCTTGACCTCTGCTGTTGAAGAAAAGCTTATTTGACATTCGCACTTGTTTCGCCTTCCTCAAGGAGCGGGACTGAGATGCTCATTTAGCACGTAAATAGGACCCTCGTTCACGAAGTACACGCCCATTTATTCCTTACAAGGGTAGTATCTCCGAGGCTACCTCATTAATAATGAAGCGTTAATAGGCCACCATGTACCATCCTGTACTAGTCCCAATCGCCCCAATCGCCGACTGAACCAAGCCCCAATCGCCCCATCAACCGCTGATATATGGCGTTCTCGGTTCATGAACCATCTGGGGCAAGGGCAGATTCACCAATCTATACGGCTCGAGTGCCCCAGCCGTTCCACGAATCGATTCTTACGTGCAAAATTTATTACGTTTTATTCGGCGTTCTACGTTCGTGAACCCGCTGGGGTAAAGGTAGATTCATTAATCTATACGGCTCGAGTGCCACAGCCATTCCACGAATCGATTCTTGCGTACAAAATTTATTATGTTTTATTCGGCGTTCTACGTTCGTGAACCAACTGGGGCAAGGGCAGATTCATCAATCTATACGGCTCGAGTGCCACAGCCATTCTACGAATTGATTCTTACGTGCAAAATTTATTACGTTTTATTCGGCGTTCTATGATCGTGAACCAGCTGGGGTAAGGGCAGATTCATCAATCTATACGGCTCAAGTGCCCCAGCCGTTCCACGAATCGATTCTTACGTGCAAAATTTATTACGTTTTATTCGGCGTTCTGCGTTCGTGAACCAGCTGGGGCAAGGGCAGATTCATCAATCCGTATGGCTCGAGTGCCCCAGTCGTTCCACGAATCAATTCTTGCGTGCAAAATTTATTACGTTTTATTCGGCGTTCTCGGTTCATGAACCATCTGGGGCAAGGGCAGATTCATCAATCTATACGGCTCGAGTGCCCCAGCCGTTCCACGACTCGATTTATCTGAGCACTAGTCTTGAATTCATTTTGTTTGACTAAATCAGATCCCTAATTTTAATCAGCCGTTAAGTCTGCCGTCTCACGCATGCTTGACATTTTGTTCTAATTACTGACTCTCCTAACTATACGGTCACATAACAGACAATACGAAAAATAGCTTGAGAGCATATAAAATTTCCATTCATAAACTGGGCGCTGGCAGCAGACATTTTACATATGAAAATCCAAAAAATGTACATTGAATATACTTAATAAAACTAGAATGTCTCCTAGATCAATCTCCGGGATCAGACTCAAGTGGCTCAACGTCCACTTGCTCGTATGGAATTGGCACGACCGATGTTGCTCCAACGGCCCCCGATTTTCGAATTTGGGGACTTCGTCTACGTATTCCTTGAAGGCCGTGCTCTTCCCAGCCTCAAGCGCCGTAAAAACTTCGGATTCGACTTTTTCCTTGGCCGCCTTCAACTCCTTTAACTCAGCCTCTGCCTTAGCAAGCGCCTCCTTGGCTAACTCGAGCGATCCCTTGCTCGCGTTCGCCCTATCCTCGGCTTCGGATCTGAGCCGGTCAGCAGTCTGAGCCCTTTCCATTTCAGCTTTAGCTAGCGCATTTTCCATAGCGGCCCTCATCGCCTCGAACTCGGCCCTGCTCCTTTCACCTTCAGCTTCATACTTTAAGCGGCCAATTCTTTCGACGACATCATGCTGCCAGCGGCCTAGTTCGGTTATCCTTCTAGCCGTTTGCAAAACAAATTGGGATCATCACATCAAGCAATATAGTGTGCAAACCAAATCAAACGAGCAGAAACGAGAATATCTTATACATACCAAAAGGGCAGACTGGGCAGCGAACGCTATAAGCTCCAAATCTGGCTCTTCTTGAAAGGTGGCCTTATCAGTCGGCAGTGAAACTGAGGCGGCCAGGTTCAACACTACGGCCGGATCCTTTATGACGGATGCGTCATTACAGATTGGCATGTTTTTGATCTTTGGTTGAACAACAAAAAGAACAACCACGTCGGATTCCTCTAAACGAGGCCTTTTGCCAACAAGACTATCCTTCGAGCCTGCGTCTCCCTCGGCATTACGTTTTTTACCCCGTTCTTTACGAACCAGTCGTTCTTCCGTGACCTGCTGTTTGACCTCCCTCTCTGTCTCATCCAAAACGATTTGAGCAGTTTCTTCCGCAATAACTGGTTGTAAAGATTCAACGGGGGCAGGCTCAGAACGAGCGGCCTCTGCCTTCTTTCAAGCGGCCATTCGCTCGGCATTTCTCTTTCTCGCCATCTGCGTGAGATTTTCCCCAGCCATGCCTTCAGAAAAATCACCGGGCAGGTCTTCTAAATCCGTAAAAATGTCTCCAAAAGAGAACTCTACCCGACCTGAAATGGACAGTGAGTTGGGTTGGTTAAGACCGACAGTTTCAAACGCTGACTTCAGAGCTTTGTCGACCGCTTTGGTCTCGGTAATGAACTCCCTGGTTGATTCGGCAACCACCTCGACTTCCGGCTCTAAGTCTCGCTCTAAATCGGAAGTCCCGAGACCAATCTGTCTCAGGGACTTGAAGTTGGGGAAGATAAGAGCCGTATGGTGTTGTTCGCCGGTTGGGATCAAAATGTTGTCTGCGGCCGAGAACGTAGTATAGGTAGGCTCGTACCTCAGAAGAATATGGGCGGCTCTGCCTTGTTTCTGTACGTTTGGACGGCCAAAATACTTTAGCGCAATCTTAATGTCTGAAAGTACTGTGTTGTCAGCCGAGGTCAGAACCCTCTTCAACTTATTGCCTGCAAAAACAGAGGATTATATTTGGAGAAGAAGCCGAATAAAAGAAAGTTCAACAAACAAGGTATCACACGGCAACCTGGTTCACCCCTCTGTCTGGGAATAGGGTCCAGGCGATCTTCGCCTTCGCCGAATCCCCAATTGCCCCGAACATTGACCATTGCATCATCAACTCGTTTGCCAGAGCTGGCAAGCATGGTTACCAAGTGATGGTCGGTATCTCTAGCCCTGAGAAAGTAGCGGCTGCGCCCGAGCCGACCGGAGGATTTGGCTAAAGCGTAGCAATGCCGAATCGCAGGAACGCCCAGGTTGATCCTGAGGGGCCGCTTCAATTCAACAATTCCCATTACAATTCAAAAGAAATTCACATTGAGTTGCGAGGGAATTAGATCCCAGTGGCGGAGGATGGCCCTAAGAAATGGATGTAGGGGAAAGCGAATGCCACCCTCCGCAATGGACAGGAGAGGGAACACGATTGTATTTGGGTCATCCCTCTCCATATCCAGGGAACTCTTCGTTACTAGAGATAGATGAACATCATCAGGAATAGAGAAATGTTTTCGGAACCCAGAAATTTGACCCTCAGAGAGGAGGTCTTTCAAATGCTTGGCCATTCTAGAGAGAACTCAAGGATATTCTAAAGCAAAAAATAAATATGGAAAGTAGGATTGCAAAGAAAAGAGAAGAAGACTTACGAGAGGCAAAGGGAACGAGAAGAAGACGGAGAGGAGTTGTAGAAAATACGTCGGAGAAGAAATACCGATAGGCGATAGGCGGTCCAGAAGGTTCAAAAATTTGAAAAAGTATGTGTTCAAAGGGACTTAAACTTCAAATCATAATAAATGTGAGAGAAGCATGAATGAGACAGAAAGGCGTTACAGTGACCGAAAAGCATGTACGCGTCCTGACATGCTTCGGGAAGAGGATTAACCGCCGAATTTATGTTTTCCCAAATCAAGAACCAAACACGCCGACTAACTGATGCTAGAAGGGTGTTTGGGGGGCAATTGTGGGAGCCGAATTTTAAAGGAGGCATACTTTAACAGACAGGTATTGCCCGGCTCTGTCCAGAACCATGAGGATACCGAATATAAATGGTAGATGGGCCAAATAGGTACTGAGCTATGGAGCCGAGTAAATATGAACATAATGAGCGAAAAGTGGACCTGGCCCCGAGGCTCAGGGAACGAGTATAAATAAAGGAATAGCAGGCTGAGAAAGGTATGTGATAATTGTGGTATTTAACTTAGAATACAAGTAATCTAGAACGAGAGACTGACTTGTCCGTCGGAGTGCTAATTCCGGCACCGCCGACCGGAGTGTTTACTTCCTTTCAAGTGCCTATCTGTGGATCACGAGCGTCCCCCAGGAACAGAAGAGCATTTCCAAAAACCACTTCCCTACATTGTATATTATAAATGAGACTAAAAATATACTTAATAGCTACTTTGATATGAAAGATCTTGGTGAAGTCAATTTTATTTTGGGAATTAAAATTACCAAGACTAAAGATGGCATTTTTCTTGATCAGTCACATTATGTTGAGAAAATTTTAAAGAAATATAACTTTCTAGACTCTAAACATGTTGTTACTCCTTTTGATGCAAGCATACATTTATTTGTTGTATTGTAACAAATGAAAAGAAGTGATTAATCAAAAGGAATATGCTAGCATGATTGGTAGTTTGAGATATGCTACTGACTGTACTAGACTTGACATTATATATATTGTTGGAGTACTTAGCAAATTTATTAGCAAGCCAAGTTGAGATCATTGGCTAGCCATGAGAAAAATTATGAGATATTTATCTAGTACCAAAAATTATGATTTGTTTTATAACAAGTATCCTGCGGTACTTGAGGGATATAGTGATGTCGATTGGAACACTTTGTCAGGTGATTCTCTCTCTACCTCGGGTTTTATTTTTACCTTGGGTGGTGGTGCTATATGTTGGAAATCTAAAAAATAGACTATAATAGAAGCTGAGCTTATAGTGTTAGTTTCAACATGTAAGGAAGCGAATTAGTTGAGAGATTTGTTACATAAAATCCCTTTTTTGGGAAAAATCAATTCTTCCTGTGTTAATTCATTGTGATAGCATTGATGTTATTAGTAGAGTGAACAACCATTTTGATAATGGTAAATCCAGACTTATTAGAAGGAAACACAGTAATGTGAGATCCTATTTGAGTAATGGTAACTGTGAATTTTGTAAAATCTTGTGATAATCTTGCGAATCCGTTAACCAAGGCCTTGGCGAGAAATAGGATCTGGAATACATTGAGGTGGATGGGTTTGAAACCTATAAAATCATAAACCATGTATGAAGACACCGAACCTAAAGACCAGAGATCCTGTAACTAGGTTCAATGGGAAGAACGAATCATATGGTGGTTGTAAAAAATGCACTCCTTAATATTTTGTTGTCCATTCTTATGATGTAAATACATTTGTCCTGTAATGTTGGAGGGTTGAGTTTTTATACTCTTAATGAAATTCTGTAGCTGTTGTTGAGTGGGGTGCGTAAATTATAGAAACATCCTTGACAGATTTCACTTATGTAAACATGGAAGTGGGACCGTTTTCTATGAGAACAAGGCTTATTATCAAATATACTCATGAAAACTGGGATAAATACAAGGTCGCAATGTGCTGGCTATTAAAAGCTCATGTCAACACCTAGATTATTATGTGTGAGCAGTAATATTTTATTACCCTTAAGTAGTCATAGTTCAAGTCTGAGACCACTATTGACTTTGGAGTAGAGATTGCTGTTTCAGCAATGAAGGTTCAATGCAGAGCACACCTTCATAATATATACTACTCTATCTTTGTTTGGTAATCTCTCTTGTCCTTGTTGATACTAAAATGAGTGGAGAATTATTTAACCATTTTAATATCTTTTATTTATTTATTTATTTATTTTTATTTCTTTAATATGACCTTTTGTCTTGTTCATGAATCTTATTTTGTCTTGCTCATGAATCTCATTTTGTTTGGTAAATGGAGATTCGTTTGTTTTTGGTGACCTTTTGTTTTTCATGAATGGAGATTAAATGGAAGGTCATGGAGTTGGTAGTGAGTTAATGGTTATTATTTTTTTGGTGTAATTTGTAAGGTCGTAGTGGCCTATAAATTGTTTTTCTCATCTACTCTTTTCTACACTAATTATTTTTCTATACTTGAAAGATTACTAGCCAAAGAAGGGTATTTTTTCTTGGTGGAGCTTTGGGTTCACCATCTTGTGCAGAATTGGTTTGAACCATACGTCAAGTGGTCAGATTGTTGTATCGTGGAGGGGACAAGTCATTTTTTCGTGACTGCTGCATTAGTATTTAAGTTCTTCCTACCGCAGTGGGCTTGATCTCCTTAAAAAAAATGAGATATCCATGCCTCAGCCTGATTTATTTGTATCTCATTTTCTTTGCATTATTTATCAATAAAATATAATTTTTCTGGTATTTTCACCAACAAACAGTTTCTTTAATTCTCTTCACAATAATATGGAAATCAATTTTAATTATTATGGAAAAAATGATTGTTAAATTTTTTTAATAATAAAATTTTTATGTACATTCTTTTTCGCCGAAAATTTTAAAATCAAACCATCTAATGTATCTGTTTCTAACAAATCACAATAGATATCCAATATTTGAATTTAACAAGATAATAATTAAGGTAAACTAATTAATCACTAGATTTTAAATCATGAAAGAAACATGATTAAATTCATATCCAAAATTTACTGAATTAATTACAAAGAGACAAAAATGATTAATCAGTTAAATCACAATTTAAGAAAACACATTCAAATCATATATTTAATTATTATGAAGCATGAGATTTCATCTTTAACCTTGATTATTAATTTAGTTACAAATCATTGAGAAAACAATCAAGACAATAAAAATATTAACCATTAAAATAAAACCCACAAGAAACTTGAATATTAAAACCCTAGTCGTCTTCTACTCTCCTCAAAAAGTTCCCGCACGATAGATGTTACATGCTTTTATATAGAAGAAGAAACCTAAACCTAACAAAAAAATAAACTATTATTAAATAATAAAAATACAATTTATAAATAAATAAAAAGTTTTGGTTTCCATACGAGTGGTGAAGTTTGGTTGTTGAAGATGTCCACTTAATCCATCTAAAAAAATAAAAATAAAAATAAAAATAATAATGTCCATTTGATTCGTGAAATAATATGGTTTCGCGGCAATGGTACAATTGCCTTGTGCTAAGTTGGCCAAAAATATAAACAACTTGCTTTTAGCAAGTTGAGACGATCTAACCACCAAATTACTAATTAGGCTAATCAACATACATGATTTATTGATCCCATTTAATTATTTAACTTCTTTCCATGTAGATTTCAATTTTATTTCCTTTTTCACCATTTTCCCACCAATGTTCTAGAATACCTAAAAATATAAAAACAAACATAATAAGATAAAAAAATATATAAAATAGGTCTAACAAAGTATAAAATATGCATTATAATGGACACATCATCTTGCACCGCTCAATAGGTCATTATTTTATCAATTTCTTTCACTAAAAACAAATAAGAATTTATTTAAAAACAATTTGTGAAAGATGAAACCAAAAGAATCTCAAGTGTAGTTGATGGTTTTGCTTATCAAAATGCGATAGGGATGTGTAGGCTTATTTTCTCAGGGAAATTAATTTATACTAGCAACAAATTAAAATAATTATAATTTTTTCTAAAGGTACAAACAAATTGGTATTTACAATTAAAAGTTATGACATGGACACAATTCTCATTTACATTTACTGTGGGGAGGTGGATATGGAATACTCATTCTATCCAAACGAGTCCTTGGGAAATCACTCTAGTTGCGACTTGAAATAAGAATAAAATTTCGGACGGTAGTACCAGAATTAGCACTTCGACGGTCTAGTTAGTTTCAGTAGAAAGGTTAGTTTTTTTTCTCATTTCTGCTGCTTTAAGTTTCTTAGCATGTATCTTTTTCTCCAACTTGTCTCCTTCTTTTATAAAGTCACCCTCCTCGATTTTCACTCCATGTAGCTTAGCTTTTCATCGTCATCTTGTCAGGATCCATACCTCTACTATACTTCCTTGAAAGGAACACTCTGGTCCTACTTGGTGTGTTCATGTTGACTCTCGAGACATATTCTGCTCTTCTATTTGATACAGGTACACTCAACTCAGCATACTCTCTTTGTTGCTGTGTATACTCGTCACAAGCCCAACGTCTGATGGGCTTGGGCTTTATTCGGCCCATCTAAGATGGGCTTGAATACTGTGTTTGTCGTTCTTGATAATCATTTTCTCGGCCCCGCATTTACTTATATCTTTGGTAAAATTCAATTTAAAATGCAATGTCCTCTATTTTCTTCCTATTATTTTTCTTATCAGGGAGTTTAAAATGAATGATTGGATGGTTGATGAATTGATGAAGCAGTTGGTCTTCCAGTGCTTTTTGAGTTCTGTTGTTTTTGCTTTTGTTTTGTGCAGGGCATTATATACCTTTAATCATCTATGAAATCTGGTTAAAAAGACCATCTTGTTTGGTGTAGTTTATAAAAATTATTTATAATTTTTTTTTGAGAATTTATTTAATATTTAGTGTAATTTTTATTTATAACTTATGAAGCATAAATAAAAAATTTTAAGTTGAAAAAATAAATTATTAAAAAATTAAGGAAGAAATGCTTTTATTTTTTTTCCTTCTGATTATCAACTTTCAATTTACAAATTAATTATAACTTCGGCCAGCCACTCAAATCATGGAAAACATTCAAAAAAATATATTTCATTCCAAATGTCGATCTTTTTATTTTATTTCTCAACTATTAAGAAAAGTTAACCCAATATATTTCATTTCTCAACTATTAAGAAAAATTTTATGTCCCTCTCTCTTGTACATGAAGAATTCCTTCCCATCACTAGCCGTTAAGGGTGATTAAAATATGGCCGCAGGACAGGTAACCAAAATTCTGGCTACTAAAATTGTTGGTTTTTTGAGGGAGGACAGTTACAGTTGCGACCTTCCGCTAAGTCACACGTTGGCATCAATGTATTATAAGTTATCACTTTCATCCTTATTCTTTTCAAATTTGTTTTCGGTTCACATGGCAAAATATATGACTGCAATCGATAAGGATGTTTTAGATGCTGTGGAGTGGACCTACTCAAATCTCTTTCCGTGCTGTAATTTTTGTACTACCGGAACTTGAGAGGAGATTAATAACTCGGGGGGGCTCTGTCCAGTGAAAGGTTGTGTATAGTCTGCTGCTTCTTGTTTAATTTGGATGCTATGGTTGAAACATTCAGGTTCTCATTGCCATAGCAAAAGTGGGAATTGAAATATTCAAGGTCAACTGTCCAAAAAAACCTTTTTCAAGTTTTCATTGGCACGCTGCTTTATAACTATAAACAGGTTAGTTCAGTGTGAACGCGAAATTGAATTGTATAATGCAGTTTAATTTCCAAATAAATAAATAAACAAATAAATGAAATCGCTTTTTGACCTAAAAAACTATTGTTTGTCTTGGTTGCAAGGATAAAAATGTAAACTCCACCATTCAAAATCAACAATTTATGTAAGCAATGCACCACTCCTAGTTATCTAAAAATGAGCATTCAAGAATCCACTAGAACAGCATTTTTGACAAACTTTGATATAGGCAACCAGACATCATTTCCAATCAATCCTTGTATTCAAGTTAAATCATGTCCAAAACACTAGTAATACATTGTACATTGTTCCTAAGCTAAAAAGAGAAATACAAAAGCAGATTACAATTCACTTCAATGAAGAAAAAAGGAAAAGGACAAAAAAAAAACCCTTAAAAAAAAAAAAAAAGAAAAAAAAAAAAAAAAAAAAAAAAAAAAAAAAATCAATTATACATATATCAGAATTTGATATATTACATGGTTTAGAGAACATTAGTACAACATTTTCAAAAGGCCTTCAACAAGGAAATCTCAATAAACATAAAACAGACTAATAATAATAAACAATTGAGGATTTTCCTAAACAATTGCATACAATACAACAACCAATTGTATGTACAATCCAGGAGAATACAACAGCGAAAAAAAAAAAGTAAAAGGGAAACTTCTAACTTTCTCTCTTTTTTTTTTTGGTTGAAAAGAAAAACTTTTATCTAACAACAAATATTGTGAAGTGTAAGATGGATTGTAGAAAGATCAAATCTCTATATGTTTCAACTGAGCGTGGACAGACTCTCAATGAACCCGAGTTGTAGCCTTACCTTGAACCTTTGGATTGATAAAGATCCAACCTACTTTTCGCCTCTTGCAACAATGCCCCAACTGCAGTATCTTGACCCAAGTGCCCTTGCTTCGACGCCCATTCAAGCACAGTGAGCACGTTGGCTTCAGCATGCTCTCCACTGTCTGGTACATGCATAGCAATGTAGCAGAGAAGAACCAATGCAGGACTCTGAACCATGTGTTCTCCAAAGTAGGCAAGCTGGATTAGGTGCTTTGCTCCTCCAGCATCAATTATAGCCTTGGAGTGATCAAGGTGGAGATAGTTATCAGTGCAGGCAAACTTCGTGAGAGCAGTGCAAGCCTCCTTAGAAACCACAGCTTCTTTCTCATCCAACAATCGTACTAATGGGCTTATCGTCCTTGTCTCAGTGGCTCGAAAAGTCCTAGCCAAATTTCCAATAGCCTTTACACATGGGATAAGAAGTTCTGAATCTCCCTCATCAATGATCTTCAGTAATTGATCGACAATGGCTTTACAAGCAGGCGAATTGGGCTTGAACGCTGACCTTCTCAAATCAGCATCTTTCTCAGCCACTGCTGTGATTTCCATTAAAGCCATGGCCGAATTGTACTTGACATCTTCGGGTCCTTTCTCTAACAGAACCGCAAAGCACAACATAGCTCTCGATTCAGTAATGCTCCGGCAAATGGCTGAGTTTCCTTTGGCAAGGTGCCAAAGTGCTCTAGCAGCCATTGCTTTCATAGAAGCCTTGGTATCCGGGTCCTCCATTTCCCTCCCTTTCATGCTAGCCCCGGTTACCGAATGATTACTGTGATGGTGATAGACTTGTGGGTTTTGCTTCGCCGCATTGCTATTGCTATTGCTATTGCTATTGCTATTGCTATTGCTATTGCTATTATTGTTGCTAGTCTCAGCATGATTGGTTTGATTTAAACCATTACTTTGGTGCTGCAACTTTGATTTAGCATTCAAGGCCATTGTAGTAGCGACCACATTATGCATTTGACTGGGTTGTTTATTACCCAAAGGATGCTGGATTCTATTCGCATTCGCGTTTGATTTATTGAGATTGTTATTGACATTTGCAGTATTAGTGGCAACTACAAGAGCATGAATGGATGATTTATGAGTAATTGCGTACTTACTGTGTTCTTGAACGGTCTCGAAAGCGAGATGGCTGACGAGAAGACGAATGATATTGTGTTGGGCAAAGAGATCTTGACATTTAGGGTGGTGATCAACGAGCTCTGAAACAGCCCAAGCCACCATAGATTGAACTTTCATGGGACCATCTTTGAGGATTTTGGCAAACACAGAGCAAACACTACCAAGAAGCATGCGATCCACGCTTTCAGGGTCACGACCCAGAAGACCCACGGCTCGAGCCGCGTTCTCTTGACCCTCAACTTTGCCCTCTTTTACCAATCTCAGCAACGGTCCAATCCCATCTTCCTCGATGATCAGCTTTCCGTACCGCTCGTTGTCTCGGGCCAGAGAGACCAGGGAAGCCGCGGCGTCGGCGCGGTCATCCAGCGACCCGGTGGACAGAGTCGCGATTTGTTCCCAAATCAGGCAGAGAATCGGCTCGTTGGCGGCGATGGGAGGGAGCCCGAGGTACTCATCGGCGCGGTCGTCGCCGGTAGCGGAGACGCGGAGGAGCCAGGAGACGTCGCCGATGGAGTTCTCGAGCTGAGCCGACATCTTGCGGAAGGCGGCGGCGGGGATGAGGGTGAAGACTCGCTTGACTAAACCGTTGGCTCGGCACTTGTGGACGAGAGCTAGGGCTTTTTCGAGGACTTGTTCGGTGTCGTCGATGATGCGGAGCGTGGGGCGCTCGTAGAGGTCGTTGCCGGCGCGTGCGGCTTGGCGGAGTAGGGTGACGAGTTTTTCAGCCTTGGACTTGAGCTCGGAACAGTCGGACTTGAAGGAACTGGCTTCGTCGGCGGCTTTGATGACTTGGTCGGCTAAATGAATCGGCTTTGCTAAGATCTGCTTCTTGACTATGTCCGCCATCTCCAGAAAACCCAAATCGCCGGCGAGTGGAATTTGGGGAAATCGAATTGAATTGAATCGAATCAAATCAAATTGAAGAAATCAGAGAAGTGGGAATTTGTGGGAATGATGGAAAACAGAGAGATTGTTGAAAGATTAGAAGGGGGTTGGGGTCGGTGACTTTTTGACGGCTCTCAATTGGAACAGGTCATGATCATGACTCATGGTGGTTGAAGAGAGGGAGAGAGAGAGAGAGAGAGAGAGAGAGAGTTTTGGGGGTGTTTGGGTTTGGTCTTTCGCTCTGTTTGGGCACAAATGGATGGTGGCTGGAGTTTAGCTATCTCGAATAGTTTGAATTTGTGTTCATTGATTAATTTGCCAGACGATTTGTTAGATGACTATTCAGGAGTGTTTGGAAAGAAAAAAAATAATTTAATTTAGGTTAAAATTTATAAAAAGATAAAGTAGGTTAAAATAGTTAATAAGATAAAATATTACATTAAATTGATAATTATTTTATTTTTTTCTCATAAACATCACATTTAACCATAAAAAAATTTAATCATCTTCTCAAACACAAAAATTTTAACTTATTAAAATAACCAAAAATTAAAATAGCCTACTAAAATAACAACTTCTGAAACGAAGCCTCAGATAATCGGGTAAAATATTTGTTGTGTACTGTTGTCACCTTTGATTGTGGCTGTCAACATTTTTTTTTTTGGTCAGAAAACCTACAAAATAAAATTTGAGTTATTCAGGACAAGTTTAAATTTGAGGTACCTAATATTATTTGTGTTTTGAGATATAATTTTAAAAATAATTTTTAAAAAAAATTTAAAAATTTATTTATTTGTATATTTTGAAAATAATTTTTATTTTTAGAGTTTTTAAATTTAGGATGATTTGGTATTTTGTTTTAGTTGAATAGATGAGTGTAAGAGAAAAAATGATAGGAAATAAGAGAGGAGAGACAAAAAGTAATTGATTGGTATATAATAGAAATAAAAATGATTTTGATTTTTTTTAAAAACAAATTCAACCAAACATATATTTGAAATATTTTTTTAAAAAAATATGTTTTGAGAAATTAAAAAAATAAAAAAATTGGAGAGAGAGTTAAGGCTCTGTTTGGTAAAGCTCTGGAAAGTTAGTTCCAGAGCTTCATTTGAACATAATGTTTGTTTAGAATTTTTAAAAATTAATTCCACACTCACTTTTGAAAACGTCATCGGAGACGGAATTTTTTTTTTGATTTGTTTGGTTGTATATTTTGAAAATAATTTTAAAGTTTGGGATAATTTGATATTTTTTTGTAGTTGAGGCTTGGTTTGGGAAGTGGGTTGGTTTTTTGGCTTTTTGGTTTTTTTTGGCTATTTTAGCCTGTGCTTAAAAGTTTGGCTTAGGAAGGGCTTTTTGACTTTTTTGAGTTTTTTTGTGAGAGAAAAATGTAATGATTATGGGTTGGATGTAATGTTTTGTTTGTTATGGCTAAAATAGCCTATTTTGTTTTTTGTGGCTAAAATAGCCAAAAAAGCCTGCAAACCCACTTGCCAAACACAGGCTGAGTAGATGTGTGTGAGAGAAAATTGATTGAGAATAAGAGGAGAGAAAAAAAATAAAGGGCAAATTACATATACCTCCCTCGAGATTTAGCAAAATTACAGATACCTCTCTGAGATTTGAGAAATTACAGATACCCCCTGAAGGTACTATTTGCATAACAAATTAGGGGGCAAATTGTTATGAAAATATAAACCTCAAGGGGCAATTTGTTATGAAAATATAAATCTTAGAGGGGTATTTGTAATTTTCGAAACCTCAGGGGTATTTGTAATTTAGCTAAATCTCGAGGGAGGTATATGTAATTTGCCCATAAATAAATGATTGATTGATTTGTAGAAAAGAGAATGATTTTAAAAAAAAATTTAAAACTAAACAAAATTTAATTTGTTTTTAATAAAAAAATTGTATCTTAAGATACAAAATAAACCAAACAAGCCCAAACTAACAAAAATATTTTGGAGCTCTAATTTGTGAGCTCTAATAGTTTTAATGTATATGTGAGACCCATCTGATTTAATTTTTTTTTTTTTTTTTTTTTTGGAGACTTTCCACCTCCCTAGAGCTCAATTAAAACTTGAATTTTAAGGAAGTGGGGACGCTGCTGCGCAGCCCGCGCAGCAGCGTCTGCTATGCGGCGATTTGGGTCCATTTCGGGGCCCATTTTGATAATCTGAACCGTTCACATTTTAGAATATGTCAAGTAGAACATGCATGCAAAAAATCAAATTAATCGGATATCGTTTACCTATTTATCCTCTTACATTTGTATTCATTTTAATTAAGTTAAAATACATTTGTATTTATTTTTGTAGATACAAATATGAGTAGACGAATGGGTAAACGATATCTGATTAACTTGATTTTTTGCAGGCATGTTTTACTTGACGTATTCTAAAATGTGAACGGTTCGGATTATCAAAATAGTCTCCGAAATGGGCCCAAATCGCCTCACAACAGACGCTATTACGCAGTGCTACGCGGGCTACGTAGCAGCGTCCCCACTTCCTAATTTTAAAGGGATGTATCGTTGTTGTCCAAACTAAACATGTGTTTTTGCTTCTTTACCTTTAATTTTAGGTAAATTAGAGAGTTTCCTTAAATTATCACTCACTTGTATTTTGTCCCTTCAATTTTGTCTCTTAGGCCTTATTTGACAAGTGGTGATCTTAACTAAAAAGTAAAAAAGTCACTAAAAAAAAATAAAAAGCCAACAATTTATATCAAAAAGTCAAAAATTTCATTTTCTCTCTACTTTTTGCAAAAAATCAAAAAGTCATCCAAAACATACTAATTTTTTTTTACATCAAATTCTAACTAAAAAGTTACTAAAGAAGTATGTTCCCAAACGAGGCCTTAAAATATTATCTTATTATAGCTAATTTTTTTTTTGTTAAGATTTTATTAGAAACTTACAAAAAAATCAAATTATATGTTAAATATATGACACATTTATTGAATTTTTAAAATAATAATACTCATTATTGATTATTTTAAGACAATAATACTCTTATTTTGTGTAGAGAAGTGATTTAGAAATACTCTTCGGGTCCTGGAGGGCGTTTGTGATCCTCAGCTAGCCACCTGAAAAAGAATGAACACTCTGGTTGGGGATGCCGGAATTAGCACTCCGATGGATAAGTCAGTATCTACTCTCTTGGTTGCTTATGTCTTAAGTTAAGCTTACTTGTTCTCACATACATCTCTTTGGTTGATATTCCTCTATTTATATTTCCCTCTGGGCCTCAGAGTTGGGCCCACCTTTAGTCCACCGTACAGTTATTCATTCGGCTCCTTCTGTTGCTGACCAACCTCTACTTGGCTCCTTGCTCAACTGGTTCTATGCCCAATTAGGATCCCCCTGAATTTATATACGACGGGGCCGAATGCAATGTATGCATCTCGATTCTCTAAGAATACTATTCGGCCTCTTCACATCCCCTAATACTCGGCTCCCACAATTGCCCCCCAAACACTTCACTAACAATAGTTGGCTGGTGTGTTTGGTTTTGAACTCGAAAAGTCAGAGCCGAAATTCGGCGATTAACCTTATTCCAACGTGAGTGTCAGAATGCACTCGCTTTACGGTCATCATTATAACTTCCCGCCCCTTCGTACACTTCTTTCATTTATTATTATGATTTAAAATTTAGTTGTCTTTTCGAATGCGTGTATATTGTTTTGAATACTTGAAGCTCTTGGTCTGCCTTCCGATACATCTCTGCAACCTCTATCCATTCTTCATTGTCTTCTCCGTCTCTTGTAAGTTCTCTTCCTCTTTATTTCGAATCCCATTTCCTTGTTTATTTTCAATTTTATGTACTCCATAGACTGACGAAAATGGCAAAGTATTTGAAAGACCTCCTTTCTGCAGATCGAGTCTCTGGCCTTTGACACCATTTTTTCATCTCCGATGACGTCCATCTGTCGCTCGTGACAGATAGCACCCTTAATATGGAGAGGAAGGATCAAAGCACAATCGTCTTTCCTCTCTTATCAATTGCTAAGGGCGGGGTCCGCTTCCCCCTTCACCCGTTCCTTAGGGCCGTCCTTCGCCATTGGGGTCTAATCCCTTCATAACCTAATGTAAATTTCTTCCGAATCATAATGGGGATTATAGAGTTAAATCGTCGCCTTAGGATCAATCTCGGCATACCTGCTATTCGACATTGTTCTGCCTTGGCCAAGTTTTCTGGCCGACATGGATGCTATTTCCTTAGGGCCAAGGACACCGACCATCAATTAGTGACCATGCTTTCCAGCTCTGGTAAGTGGGTTGATGATGTCATGGTAGTTGTCCGAGGTAACTGGGAATTCGACGAAGGCGAAGACCGCCTAGATCCAATTTCCAAACGGAGAGGCGAACCAGGTGGCCATATAGCTCTTTGCGCTTATTTTCTTTATATGTGTTCGGCTTTATTCTCACGGCCTTATGATTTCACTTGTACAGGAAACAATTTGAAGAAAATTTTAGTTTCAATCAACGACTCCGTTTTTGCAGAAATCAAAGTCGCGCTCCAATACTTCGGCCGTCCAAGCCTTTAGAGAAAAGGGAGAGCGGCCCACATTCTTCTTTGATATGAGCCGACGTATACGATGTTCTCGGCGGCGGACAACATTCCAGTTTCGAGGGGCGAAGAGTATTTTATAACCCTTATCTTAACCAACTTCAAAAACTTGAGGCAAGTTGGTTTGGAAGCATCTGATTCGGAACAGGTAAAAGTAGCCGAAGAGGTCGCTGAGGAGTCAACCTAGTCTGAAGCCGAGGTAAATGAGGCTTTAAAGTTGGCCTTTGAGGAAGCTGTACTCAATTTGTCTGACGCCCCGTCCACCTCAGGCCAACGGGACGTCTCCTTCGAAGACATTTTTACAAACTTAGGGGACGACCCAATTTTGACAAGGCCGAAGACTTGAACACACACACTCAAGATCACAATATAGATGCGCCCGCAGGCTGGGGCAAAATGCAAATGATATGCACAATGCCAAACATAACTTATGATCATGCAAAGAAAGCTGTAATGAAGCATCTAGATGCAAATGTTATGCAAAGAAATGCTACAGCAAACTCGTACGCAATCACGCTATGCGTGGGAACCACAAACCGAACTACAGTTCATGCAGAAAGAATGTAAAAAATATTATGCAATCTTAACTACAACTTACGCAGGAAAGACTAAAAGCGATTGCCAGGAACACCCAAAGTCTCAAACGAAACACCTCTTAGCGTATCAAACGCGAGAGGAGAAGGGCAACCAAAATTGCGTCAA